GGACTTTTGCTTGTTGAGAAGAAGTCGTTTGTATATTTTAACATATTTGACCCCTGTGACCTTGAAAGTGGGCCAAGGTCATTCATTTTAACAGACTTTGTAGGGCTCCATGCCAGCATGCTATGGGCCATGTATTAGCCCCCTAGGCCTTCTAGTATTTGAGAAGAAGTTATTTAAAGATTTTAACATATTTGACCCCTGTGACCTTGAAAGTTGTTCAAGGTCATTCATTTGAACAAACTTGATAGCCCTTCATCCCAGCATGCCACAGGCACAATATAAGCAATCTGAGCCTTTTGGTTATTGAGGAGAAGTCGTTTAATAATTTTAACATATTTGGCCCCTGTGACCTTGAACGTGGGTCAAGGTCATTCACTTGAACACACTTAGTAGCACTTCATCCCAGCATGTCACAGGCCCAATATCTACACTCTGAGCCTTTTGGTTAATGAGAAGAAGTTGTTTAAAGATTTTAACATATTTGACCCCTGTGACCTTTAAAGTGGGTCAAGGTCATTCATTTGAACAAACTTGGTAGAGCTCCATGCCAGTATCCTCTGTGCCAAGTATTAGCCCCCTAGACCTTCTAGTATTTGAGAAGAAGTTGTTTGAATGAAAAGTTTACACACGGCGCACGGCGGACGACTACGGACGAAGCACGATGGCTAAAAAACTAGTAATGCGATGGGTAATAGATCAAAGTGTGTAGATCAAAACTGTATTAATTTTTCCCATTTTTTCCATTCATTCTCAAATTCACGTTTTACTTTATCATCCTTACCATTAGCTATATATTTTTGTATCATATAATTATCTTTGATTGTATTAATTAGTGCATGCAAGTTTAGTGAACGGTGTAAGCATCTCATTTTATAAATAGACTGTTTAATAATAATTATAATCTCATTGTCTACTCTGTTACTCGGAAGGAAGTTTTGATGTAGGACACCAAAAATGAAAGCTTGCTTGTTTACTGAGAAAGGGATAAATAGAGCTTCTAACAAAATATCAAGACTCTGTAATAGTCTTTGTACTTCCTGACATTCCAACAGCAGATGAATGATTGTTTAGCACTCGGAATTACACAACACATTTAATATTTGTTGCTGTTTTGACTTTGATGTGACATTTGACATTTGTAGCTGTTTTGACTCTGATGCGACATTTGTAGCTGTTTTGACTCTGATGCGACATTTGTTGCTGTTTTGACTCTGATGCGACATTTGTTGCTGTTTTGACTCTGATGTGACATTTGATATTTGTTGCTGTTTTTACTGTGATGTGACATTTGTTGCTGTTTTGACTCTGATGCGACATTTGTCATTTGTTGCTGTGTTGACTCTGATGTGACATTTGTTGCTGTTTTGACTCTGATGCAACATTTGTAGCTGTTTTGACTTTGATGTGACATTTGACATTTGTAGCTGTTTTGACTCTGATGCGACATTTGTTGCTGTTTTGACTCTGATGTGACATTTGACATTTGTTGCTGTTTTGACTCTGATGTGACATTTGTTAATGTTTTGACTCTGATGCAACATTTGTTGCTGTTTTGACTCTGATGTGACATTTGTTAATGTTTTGACTCTGATGCAACATTTGTAGCTGTTTTGACTTTGATGTGACATTTGACATTTGTAGCTGTTTTGACTCTGATGTGACATTTGACATTTGTTGCTGTTTTGACTCTGATGTGACATTTGTTGCTGTTTTGACTCTGATGTGACATTTGTTAATGTTTTGACTCTGATGCAACATTTGTAGCTGTTTTGACTTTGATGTGACATTTGACATTTGTAGCTGTTTTGACTCTGATGTGACATTTGTTAATGTTTTGACTCTGATGCAACATTTGTAGCTGTTTTGACTTTGATGTGACATTTGTTGCTGTTTTGACTCTGATGCGACATTTGTCATTTGTTGCTGTGTTGACTCTGATGTGACATTTGTTGCTGTTTTGACTCTGATGCAACATTTGTAGCTGTTTTGACTTTGATGTGACATTTGACATTTGTAGCTGTTTTGACTCTGATGCGACATTTGTTGCTGTTTTGACTCTGATGTGACATTTGACATTTGTTGCTGTTTTGACTCTGATGTGACATTTGTTAATGTTTTGACTCTGATGCAACATTTGTTGCTGTTTTGACTCTGATGTGACATTTGTTAATGTTTTGACTCTGATGCAACATTTGTAGCTGTTTTGACTTTGATGTGACATTTGACATTTGTTGCTGTTTTGACTATGATGTGACATTTGTTGCTGTTTTGACTATGATGCGACATTTGTAGCTGTTTTGACTCTGATGTGACATTTGTTGCTGTTTTGACTCTGATGCGACATTTGACATTTGTTGCTGTTTTGACTTTGTTGTGACATTTGTTGCTGTTTTGACTCTGATACAACATTTGTAGCTGTTTTGACTCTGATGTGACATTTGACATTTGTTGCTGTTTTGACTCTGATGTGACATTTGTTAATGTTTTGACTCTGATGCAACATTTGTAGCTGTTTTGACTTTGATGTGACATTTGACATTTGTAGCTGTTTTGACTCTGATGTGACATTTGACATTTGTTGCTGTTTTGACTCTGATGTGACATTTGTTGCTGTTTTGACTCTGATGCGAGATTTGTCATTTGTTGCTGTGTTGACTCTGATGTGACATTTGTTGCTGTTTTGACTCTGATGTGACATTTGCTGCTGTTTTGATTCTGATGCAACATTTGTAGCTGTTTTGACTTTGATGGGACATTTGTTGCTGCTTTGACTCTGATGCGACATTTGTTGCTGTTTTGACTCTAATGCGACATTTGACATTTCTTGTTGTTTTGACTCTGATGTGACATTTGACATTTGTTGCTGTTTTTACTGTGATGTGAGATTTGTCATTTGTTGCTGTTTTGATTCTGATGCGACATTTGTTGCTGTTTTGACTCGGATGCGACATTTGTTGCTGTTTTGACTGAAGCGACATTTGTTGCTGTTTTGACTCTGATGTGACATTTGTTGCTGTTTTGACTCTGATGCATTATTTGTAGCTGTTTTGACTCTGATGTGACATTTGACATTTGTAGCTGTTTTGACTCTGATGTGACATTTGTTGCTGTTTTGACTATAATGCAACATTTGTAGCTGTTTTGACTCTGATGCGACATTTGTTGCTGTTTTGACTCTGATGCGACATTTATTACTGTTTTGACTCTGATGCGACTCTGATGCGACATTTGTTACTGTTTTGACTTTGTTGTGACATTTGTTGCTGTTTTGACTCTGATACAACATTTGTAGCTGTTTTGACTCTGATGCGACATTTGTTGCTGTTTTGACTCTGATGCGACATTTGTTGCTGTTTTGACTCGGATGCGACATTTGTTACTGTTTTGACTTTGTTGTGACATTTGTTGCTGTTTTGACTCTGATACAACATTTGTAGCTGTTTTGACTCTGATGCGACATTTGTTGCTGTTTTGACTCTGATGCGACATTTGTTGCTGTTTTGACTCTGATGCGACATTTGACATTTGTTGCTGTTTTGACTCTGATGAGACATTTGTTGCTGTTTTGACTCTGATGCAACATTTGTAGCTGTTTTGACTCTGATGTGACATTTGACATTTGTTGCTGTTTTGACTCTGATGTGACATTTGTTGCTGTTTTGACTATAATGCGACATTTGTAGCTGTTTTGACTCTGATGCGACATTTGTTGCTGTTTTGACTCTGATGCGACATTTGTTACTGTTTTGACTTTGTTGTGACATCTGTTGCTGTTTTGACTCTGATGCGACATTTGTTACTGTTTTGACTTTGTTGTGACATTTGTTGCTGTTTTGACTCTGATACAACATTTGTAGCTGTTTTGACTTCGATGCGACATCTGTTGCTGTTTTGACTCTGATGCAATATTTATTGCTGTTTTGACTCTGATGCGACATTTGTTGCTGTTTTGACTCTGATGCGACATTTGTTACTGTTTTGACTCTGATGTGATATTTGTTGCTGTTTTGACTCTGATGCGACATCTGTTGCTGTTTTGACTCTGATGCGACATTTGTTGCTGTTTTGACTCTGATGTGATATTTGTAGCTGTTTTGACTCTGATGTGACATTTGACATTTGTTGCTGTTTTGACTCTAATGTGACATTTGTTGCTGTTTTGACTCTGATGCAATATTTGTTGCTGTTTTGACTCTGATGCGACATTTGTTGCTGTTTTGACTCTGATGTGATATTTGTAGCTGTTTTGACTTTGTTGTGACATTTGACATTTGTTGCTGTTTTGACTCTAATGTGACATTTGCTGCTGTTTTGACTCTGATGTGACATTTGTTGCTGTTTTGACTCTGATGTGATATTTGTAGCTGTTTTGACTTTGTTGTGACATTTGACATTTGTTGCTGTTTTGACTCTAATGTGATATTTGTTGCTGTTTTGACTCTGATGCGACATTTGTTGCTGTTTTGACTCTGATGTGACATTTGTTGCTGTTTTGACTCTGATGTGATATTTGTTGCTGTTTTGACTCTGATGCGACATTTGTTGCTGTTTTGACTCTGATGCGACATTTGTTGCTGTTTTGACTCTGATGTGACATTTGTTGCTGTTTTGACTCTGATGTGATATTTGTTGCTGTTTTGACTCTGATGCGACATTTGACATTTCTTGTTGTTTTGACTCTGATGTGACATTTGACATTTGTTGCTGTTTTTACTGTGATGCGACATTTGTTGCTGTTTTGATTCTGATGCGACATTTGTTGCTGTTCTGACTCTGATGTGACATTTGATATTTCTTGCTGTTTTGACTCTGATGTGACATCTGTTGCTGTTTTGATTCTGATGCGACATCTGTTGCTGTTTTGACTCTGATGCGACATTTGTTGCTCCTACAGATGTAGTTTCCTCTGGGTTAGTTGTTCATAAATCTGTTTCCTTGGACACTAGATACTAACTGTATCTTGTTCATGAAACATCTCATTACAATAGTTCATTACTCACCTCCACAGAACGTCGTACACTGGATCTAAACACACAGAATCCTGAGACAGATCCACCTGGTCCTGACCGCCAAGGCTGTAAGGGTACAGAGTCATTAGTGCTGGCCTACATGGCCCTTGTTATTGATCATTATGTACTAGAACACTAACTATGTCTACAATTAGTCATGTTTGTTCTATTTAATCTTGTGCAATAATGACGATATCTAAACATTTCTACATGATAATTCACACTGTAATCAGAAGACATTACACAGTGTTGCACTAAAATTTCTGGATTTACCAGTACACATTACACATCATGTAGTAACCAAAACTGAAAGAGGGAAAAAAACATTCACCAACCATAGAATAAATCAAATGTAGTGTACTCTTCTAAAATCTAATCAATGTTTTTATTGGGTTAAGCATCCTCGCAACAGCCAAGGTCATCTGAGAACAGGTGTCAAGTGGCTTGCTGGGTTTATCAGCCCATGAACAGCCAGAATGTTTCTGAGGCCAGGTCTCCTTGTAGAAGCTGGTGGCAACTTATTAGAGGCCCACTGCATGCAATCACAAGAAAAAAAAAAACAGCTCTGGTCGTCAGCTTCATGTGAACCACTGACACAAAATGCCACACATTGGAAGAGTCAAAGCAAGCATTTCATATCATCACATAAGGTCATGGGGGTCAGTGCTCTACCAGACTGAGCTATCATAGCTCCTGTGTCAAGAGAGGCACTAAGAGTAAAAACTACTAGGAACAGCAGATTTGTTTAAGTATCTTCAATGTTCTTTTGGCAGAAGGCATGGAAAAATCCCTACAATCAAATATCACCATGTTTGAGCTGGTGGTTAAACTAACCCTAAAACTAATCACCATTAAGAACACTTAGTGGAAGGGAGATAACTCACCTTCGACAGCTGCCATCAGTCTTGCTGATCATCAGACACTTCATGATTCCAGCATTCTCCTCTCCCATAGGAATCAAACCTACCAAAAGAAGTATGTCCCAATCAACATGCAACACAAGGTATATTTTCTTGCTTTTTCACCTTGTATTTGTAAAATAAAAATGTTGAATGAAAACAGAATGAACCACCTTAACAAGGGGCCCAAAGGGCGGGCCCCCACGGGGTCGGCCAAACATTCTTTTTTACCCAAATATGCTGCAGACCAAACAGAGACAGGATCCATACATTCCTACAGAAGAATTTGCTATATTTCCTTACTGAGTCCCCATGCCCACTCTGCATCAAGGGACTAAGACCCAATGTTTATACAAAAAGCAGTTTAAGACTAATAGCAATCTGTAGGAAAAACTGACAGACAGACAAATGCAGCAGTATGCCATAAGTTGACTAGGCCCTTCGGGCCAAATGAACTTTTGAATTCTAAGACAATTTTCTTATTGTATATTCAACAACCTAGCAATCTTTATGACAAAACCTAAGATGATGTTATAATACAGTAACTTACTAATAAAAATGTCTTGGTACAGACACTGATAGAGATCAGATTAAGGACATGGATAAGGTGTATTGTATCCATAACAGCTTAGTAATCTTCAAGACAAAACCTGAGACAAGGTAATCATACAGTAACTTACCAATACAAGAAGTATTGGCAAAGACCTTGGAGGAGGCTAGGATATGGGCATTGATGAGTGACTCATCAATTCTCATGAAGGTCTGATCTCCACTTGCATGTATCCATGTTGCACGGCGACCATATCTGGCACCTGAGAAAAAGCAGATAAAAAACCCCACATGATCCTTTTATGAACTAGTTATCTCTACATTAAATATGTCAAAAACATATATAAAATGACACATTTTGTATCTCATCTCCAGAAAGACACAGTTTAAACCAAAACAAATTAATTTCAGATTTTTCAGAATTTTTGACAGATATTTTTTCCCTGTTATTCTGGTATTTTTTTCCCTCACACAAAATCCAATTGATGAGTAAGTGAAAGAAACCATCTTTGTTACAATCTTAATTTCAAAATTATGACCTTAGACATAACTGAAAAGGTAACATAAAGTTTAAAAGAGAAAATAAATTGCTTAAGTCACGAAATAATTTCTAGTGAATTATTACTCACCAATGCCAGGAACTGGTCCAGGGAGGCCATACCAAAGTCCTTTCTTTGTCTTGGCACCCGCCTCGTCAGGACCTGCTCTACCAAGTGCACCTTTCTGTATATTCAATCATGGATGTTAAAATTACTACAATAACTAAAATTAATGAAACATAACAGGAAGAACACTGCAATATACTTAATCTAGCTGCTGTAATATAACCATGGACGACTTCAATTTCATTCTGAATTCACTGTGATGTGAAATTAATTCAATAACCTGTATCAAGAGTATTTAAAATCTGACCTGGAAATTTCCAAAGGTGTAAACTTGACCGTTGGAGAGTAAGACAACAGAGTGATGAGCTCCCGTAGCAACCTGAGTTGCAGTTTGAGGAAGGTGGACTTTTGTAGGCACGCCTCTGTCAGAAGGTATAGTAATCATATAACAAAAGAATGCTGAGCAGGTAAAAGGAACACAGGGCATCATTTCTCAAAAAAAACACTAATAAGTATTATGAAATGACAGTTTAATAAAATCTCATTTTCATGCGTTTTTTCCCCATTACTTCATAAACTTATAACTCCACACTATAAAGGTAAAGGAGTATGTATGGTTTGGGTACCTATGTACCCCCAATATTTTACTGAGAAAAACTGTCTCAGAAAATCAAAAGAGTGAAGACATTTAATAATGGAAGTGTCCATGATTCTAGAATTTTTTTCAAGATTTAAAAAATATCACTAATTTTTTTAATATAGCTGTTTGAAAATTGACAAAAAACACGAAAATCGGTGATTTCCCCCATTTCGTGGGTACATTTTACTGAAGTTTACCATGAGCGCAGGCTTGAACAAGTTTCATATTGATGCTACAAAATAAAAATTTTAATAAAGTCATTGTGTTAAAAGGAAAAACTTGTTCAAGACTGCGCTCATATTAAAAAATTATTTTTCAAAATTATTTTTCGGCATTTTGATGCAAGATCGCGTGTAATATATGGTCCGGAACATGGAAAACGGACTTCGCCGCTATCGATATTTTTGTTTACTGCAGCAGAAACACTCAAATGATGGAGTTAAAACCAACAATTCCTTAATTTTTCACAACCAAGAAAGGTAAGATTTGTTCTTGTTAGCAAAAATTTTTAACTGATGTGATATAAAAAATGAATAGTTTTTTTATTCATCGGACGTCTGCAGCACTTGATTGCATCATCAGTTTTACGTCTGGTTGACAGATGCCCCAATACAGGTAGACGGCAAAAAATCCACTAACTTTGTGTGATGTTTGTTCAAAAATTAATTCAAATGTCATTTATTAACAATAAAATCTATTTAAAGGTATCTCAATACTTTTTAAAGTTCTGAAACAGTATTATTCTGTGCTGCCAAGCCCAGTTTGAATGTTGTTGATGTTGATCGCCGAACAAACGGTGAAGTGTCGTCTGGACTGAAAGCGAGCTCACAATAAATTCAAGAGTAATTCATTATAAACTTCAACAGAGACTGTGTGTCTTGTTGAAGTCCACTGAAAATGTCTTCTTTCTGTCTGAAAAATATTCGTTTTATTAACTAAGGAAAAATAGAAATGAAAGAGCGCATCTATTTATACTCATTGTCTTGGAAACAGCCAGAGAGAAAGCCAACATAGTCGGTGTATATATATTTCAAAATAACAACCGGTTGCATATGCTGTACCGTGGTGTAGTGGTATGAGGGTTGGCTCAGGAGCATAAGCACCGCAATTATGGGTTCCAATCCTGATGACCATTGATCTTATTTTTTTTATATTCAATTTAAGATACAAAACTATAATACATATTTTCTAGCGAGAACTTTGCAACACATTATTATTTTTAACATTAATTAAAACTATTTGTGTAATTAATTAAGCTCTGACTTCAAATCCTGTTGACAACTCTTATTTATTTTGATTTCAAATAAAAAAATACCTATTCTTGATTTAATTTAAAATGCAACCATGTAGTCTGTTCTTGAAAGTGCTTAGCAACATTTTATTTTTTTCACATTAAGAAAATAACATTTGTAATATTAATTAAACTGTGAGTTCAAATCTTGTTGACAATCCATATTTCACAAACATTTATCGACATTTGTGTGAGTTACAGTTGTGCTGGTGCCTGTTCCTTTTTATTTTTTTTTTCTTAATTTCAGTGTAAAAATCTTAACAACATATTCACTAAATAATGTGTAATTATTGATCAATTATGACAAAAATATGTTATGTAATTTAAATATGAATATAATATCTATGTTTACAACTTTTAATTTCTTATACAATGTATAGAACACACATTCTGTTGAGTTCCACATAAAAAGTTGTCACTTTTATGTTTACATATTCTTTTTATACTTTTCTACGTTACCGTGATTCATATGGTTGGTATAAAGTATTAATATACTTATCAAATATTTCTTTCCAGATGCCAAAAGACATCCCATGTTGCTTGTGCTTCAAAAGGTGTAAACCAAATTCCAGAAGGCATATCCCACCTGGCGTGGCCTTTAAAAGATATGTGGAGCGATGTGTTGGCAGGGACGTGAGTAGCAATGACATGATATGCGGGACATGTACGGCACGAGTGTATAGGAGTCTTCCAATATTTCACCAGAAAAGAACCACTTGTGAAAACTGACGCAACATCAGAAGCACATTGCAGGGCAATGCTTGCAAAGTCCAAGGAACCAAATACAGTGAAGGCATTTTTGGAAAGCAACAACTTACTAAATAAGAGAACTGTTTATCAAAAGCTGGAAGCAGAAGACTTGATGAACTTCCCTAAACTTTCCATGGATGACTTACGAAACATCACCATGGGAGTTTATCAACTTAAACAGGCTCCAAGTTATACAAAGGAGCACTGTGTTGAAGATGGACTGTATGAGTTGCTTGTCTTCTCAGAAAACCCTAATCTGATCAAGTTAAAAATACAGTCTCGACACTGTAACAGCAGAGCACATTCTTTGTGGATTGAGTATGACTCACTCTCTGATGATCCCATCAAAGGTTGGTACTGCACTTGTAAAGTAGGCTCAAGAGTAGTCGGTTGCTGTGCCCACATTGCAAGTGCATTGTGGTTTCTAGGATATGAACGCTTCCAAGGCAAATCATCTGGGGCAGTGACTATTTCAACAAAGTCTTTGGCTGATGCAGCTGACATTCCAACAACAGATTCCGACACGGATGAGGAGTATACAGAGGAATAAACTGTAACACTATATGTATTTAAAGTAGATATAATTTGAAGTCGCTTATCACTTGTTCATTTTCATGTTTGTTAAATTCTGTGAACAAAACCAAAGGTTATACATTGATTATATGCTTCGAATATGCTTTGCTTTCAAAAGCACCAGTGCAGACGTATGAAGCAAAATAGAAACCGATAACAGCTTCAGGTGATGTTCTTGCTATGAAAAGAATATGTTAACAATTACGGGTATGCTATGTGATAGACTCTGTTGCTAGGGTACTAACTTTGATCTGTATCAAAATGTTTATATTATACATATTTCGTAAGAAAAGGTTAGTCCATATAAAGTGATAATGATCTGTTTTCATTAAATAACGTACAATAAAAAACATTGAAACAATATAAAAAAAAATAACAGTTTAGGTCATATTCTTGCCATGTGTAAGAATACTTTGCTAGGGCACCAACTTTGATCAATACTCTAATATCTATATTGTGATACCTTTACTAGAAAGTTTAGCCACTGAAAACATGAGAAATATTTTGTTTTCATTAAGTACAGCAGAAGAAAAATCTTGAAACTGGAAAGAAAATGTTGTTATCAATATAAGTTATTGTTGTTGCTATGCGACACATTCTGTTGCTAGGGAAATTATTGTCACTTCCCAAATGTTTGCATTATAATACCTTTGTAAAAAAAGTTAGTCCATATAATTATGTCACATATGCTATGATTTGTTTTCATTTCACAAGTTCGGACGATAGAAAATGTTGTTACCAGTAATAAATCTTATAGCCATGCCGTTGCTATGTGATATAATTTGTTGCTAAGGTACCAAATGTAAATATATTAAAAGTTTAATTTAAGCCTTTGCTAGCAAAAGCCATTAGTTGATAACTTCCATAAGTGATTTAATTACATCAATATTAAGCAGCATATTTGTATGATAATTAAAAGTTACAGAATCTTTTTGTAATGCTTTGTGTCATTTTTCTCTTAAAAAATACTGGTGTGACACCTATATTTGAAGTGCCGCTACGCATGCGCCGAGAAAGAAAACATGCTAAAATCCCCCAATTCATTAATTACGTTACTATCCTTTCTCAATATAGGTATTTCATCAAATTTGAAGAGGGGGCCAAATTTGACCCAAATCATACATACTCCTTTAATTCATCTTACAGAGAAAAGATCCTTTTTTGTGCTTACCTGACAGAGAGATCGCCCTGACCAAGCTGGCCGTACTGATTACTACCAAAGGCATACACCTCCCCAGACTGTAACAATATGACTGGAACAAAGACAACATGCAGATAATGTTATATTGTAACAATATGACTGGAACAATGTTATATTGTAACAATATGACTGGAACAATGTTATATTGTAACAATATGACTGGAACAATGTTATATTGTAACAATATGATTGGAACAAAGACAACATGTAGAAAATGTTATGTTAAATGTTAACATAATTAAATATGGTATAATTAGCTGAAGGTGATGTTAAAATTCAATATTCATTATAAGATCTTTATTATGACGTATAAACAGTTGTAAATATTGATTGTCTAGGTTTTTACAGAAGTGTGCAATAGGAAGCTTAATTCTAGTTCTTTATTAAATACAAAAGTGTGCAATAGGAAGCTTAATTCTAGTTCTTTATTAAATACAAAGCTTAATTCTAGTTCTTTATTAAATACAAAGCTTAATTCTAGTTCTTTATTAAATACAAAGCTTAATTCTAGTTCTTTATTAAATACAAAAGTGATTTGGATTTACTTCCCCATTACAATGATGTAATGATGTGTAATACATCAGATATTTTTGGTCTAGAATGATAAAGTAAGAAGTACCTGTATGGTGTTGACCACAGGATATCTGAGTGACCGGTATGTCTCCATCCCCTACAGTCACCTCTAGAGGCGGTAGACTGACCACTTTGTTATACTCTGTCTCCTGATCACTTCCAACTTCAGCTGTTCACAATATGATTTCGATAACAAGTAAAATTCTAATTTTTCTACTCATTCTTTAATACTTTTATAACAGTTTCATTGCATTTCAATAAAACTGAACAATATTTTTTTAATGTTGATTAAAATGCATTTTAACAAAATGAAAGTTAAAAAAGAAGCAGAACTTACGTTGTGATTTTCCTTTCTGTTTATTATTTCCTGATTTAGATCCAGATCGATGGTGTTGTCTGGCAGGTCGCTCTAGCAGACGTTTAAAGAACTGTTCTAGTGGGGTACCATGGTTACGACCACCTGACATGAAAATAAACAATGCCTAACAGGTCCACAAAGTTACTGAACTTACAACTTCTATATCTACCTCTGTCAAAAGAGAGTAATCTAGCAGATAAGGAAGCTGGATACCCCGATACTAAACATGATTGCTAACATTTCAGATTATAAAGATTGAGTGTAGAATTTTGTAAGACAAATGTACCATTGGTTATTCTAAACAGTTAACGTTAACAAGCAGCAAATCAAACCTACTCAACTCTATCTTGAGGTTTTTTGGATATAGATTGTTGCTGCATTCATGGACAATGTCAAGAAATCTTCAGACTATCATATCAGAAGAAAAGTCCTCCAATCCCAAAGACGGGGATAGAGCTTTGTTACCATTATGATAAGACCAGCTTTTATATAATACTGGTAGATATTAGCTGTAATGTCTGCTTAGCTGGAGAAAACCTATTTGCTTATTGATTTAAGTGATCAGCCAGAGGTCCTGTGTTCAATCCCCAGCAGATCTCAGGAGGTATTGAATATCTCTGTTACATATGTTTTACCTTTTCCTCCAACCAGAAGGTCAAACTGAGCAAAGTCTTTATTCTTAGTGAGAACGTGAGCAAGTTGTTGGGCCTCATCCATGCTCTGTTCAGCAGCACACATCTTACAGATACCACAGTCACTACAGCCAGAGTCTCCAGACCCACAGCCACATGGCCTAGAACATTGACATGGGAGTAAAATCATAGCATCAGTAAAGGGTCAAAACTTGAAATATACTTTTGATTTTCAGATAACTGCAAGCAATTTTTAGTTAAATCTCTCAAGATTAATATTGTTTTCATCTGATACAAAATTACAAACAATTTCACAAACATTTCAGAAATAAAAACATTTCACAGGTGACAATGGTAACCAGGTTCACATACAAACTCTAAAAGCATACCATACCAAATTATGATAAGAATGGAAAAGCGTCCTACTTACATGCCAGGGTTTCTGCCTCCCTGTACAGAATGAACACAAGCAATTCCATACCCTGTACATTCACCACACACAGAACACACCATACACAAGTCTGTTTTCCATTTGTGACGCCCTGAAATATCACATTTGTCAAATAAATAACATGGACTCACTGTGTTATACAGATATAAAGGAAGACTTAATTGTTTTTATGGTAGTAAAGCTTCCTTAGATGAAACAGTATAGAACTTCCACTACTAACCATCACTTAAGTTTCTGTCAAGCTAGAACATACAGGAAGAACTGTCACATCAGTGATTAGTGGAAAAACAGTAAATATCAAATCAAACAAAGACCAAGCTTACCTGCTGCACCCATGACCTCTTCCACTTCTGCATTTACCTGCACCACCAATGGCCTCTGGCTTTCTGTACTTACCCGCAGCAAAAATGGCTTCTTGCTTTCTGTACTTACCTACACCACAAATGGCCTCTGGCTTTCTGTACTTACCTGCACCAAAAATGGCTTCTGGCTTTCTCTACTTACCTGCACCAAAAATGGCTTCTGGCTTTCTGTAATTACCTGCATCACAAATTGCCTCTGACTGCTCTGTACTTACCTGCACCAGACTAGAAGGGCCTCTGGCTGTACTGTACTTACCTGCACCAGACTAGAAGGGCCTCTGGCTGTACTGTACTTACCTCCACCAGACTAGAAGGGCCTCTGACTGTTCTGTACTTACCTCCACCAGACTAGAAGGGCCTCTGACTATTCTGTACTTGCCTGCACCAGACTAGAAGGGCCTCTGACTATTCTGTACTTACCTGCACCACACTAGAAGGGCCTCTAACTATTCTGTACTTGCCTGCACCACAAATGACTTCTGCTGTTCTGTACTTACCTGCACCATAGATGACTTCTGTCTGTTCTGTACTTACCTGCACCACAAATGGCCTCCTCCTGTTCAGTCTCCTCCTCTTCTTCTGTCATTGTCACATTGTTACTGGCTGTAGAGTACATCATATTTCATAAATGAAGAGTGTTCATGCAGAGCAATTGAAACCAAAATAACCAGTACTAATCGTGTGATACGTGTGATGTCAGACATTCTGGTATTTTTTTCAGTTTGATTAACCATACATACAATGTCTATGATGATAAACAGAAGCTGTTTATATATAAGTTCTCTGAGAGGAAAAGTAAACAATACAGTTGTATTTTAGAAGAGTATGCATTATTGTGAATCTATTACTGGAACTAACCTTCCTTAGAGCCACCTGGTTGGAAGTCGCGACCACACTGACCCTTGTTGTTGATACCAAAGCTGTAAATGAAGCCTTTGTTGGTGAGAACAATGGCGTGGGCCTTCCCCAGACAGATGTTTGTCACCACCACATCCTTCAGGTCTGTCACATGACCTTCAAGCATAAACTTAACTATTACCTTCCAACACAAATTTAAATACAGAACCACAAACAACAACCACGTCCTTCAGTATTATCAATTGACCTTTAAACTGAAGTTAAATTAAAGAACAATAAATAGTTTAACTGTAGAAGTATACACAGTTTTTAAATCACAAATCATATTACTGATAAACTGAACTAGTATGGTCACAGTAGCCAAGTCTTAGTGACATAGTCTTAGTGACATACATTATATTACTGATAAACTTAACTAGTATGATCACAGCAGACAAGTCTTGGTGACATACATTATATTACTGATAAACTTAACTAGTATGATCACAGCAGACAAGTCTTGGTGACATACATTATATTACTGATAAACTTAACTAGTATGATCACAGTAAACAAGTCTTGGTGACATACATTATATTACTGATAAAATTAACTAATATGGTCACAGCAGACAAGTCTTAAAAACATACATCATATTACTGATAAACTTAACTAGTATGATCACAGCAGACAAGTCTTAGTGACATACATCATATTACTGAAGACAAGTCTTGGTGACATACATTATATTACTGATAAAATTAACTAATATGGTCACAGCAGACAAGTCTTAAAAACATACATCATATTACTGATAAACTTAACTGGTATGATCACAGCAGACAAGTCTTAGTGACATACATTATATTACTGATCAACTCAACTAGTATGATCACAACATACAAGTCTTGGTGACATACATTATATTACTGATAAACTTAACTAGTATGATCACAGCAGACAAGTCTCAGTGACATACATTATATTACTGATAAAATTAACTAGTATGATCACAGCAGACAAGTCTTGGTGACATACATTATATTACTGATAAACTTAACTAGTATGATCACAGCAGACAAGTCTTGGTAACATACATTATATTACTGATAAACTTACAACTAGTATGGTCACAGCAGACAAGTCTTGGAGACATACATTATATTACTGATAAACTTAACTAGTATGATCACAGCAGACAAGTCTTGGTGACATACATTATATTACTGATAAAATTAACTAATATGGTCACAGTAGACAAGTCTTAGAGACATACATCATATTACTGAAGACAAGTCTTGGTGACATACATTATATTATTGATAAACTTAACTAGTATGATCACAGTAAACAAGTCTTGGTGACATACATTATATTACTGATCAACTTAACTAGTATGATCACAGCAGACAAGTCTTAGTGACATACATCATATTACTGAAGACAAGTCTTGGTGACATACATTATATTACTGATAAAATTAACTAATATGGTCACAGTAGACAAGTCTTGGTGATATACATTATATCACTGATAAACTTAACTAGTATGGTCACAGTAGACAAGTCTTGGTGACATACATTATATTACTGATAAACTTAACTAGTATGATCACAGCAAACAATTCTTGGTGACATACATTATATTACTGATAAAATTAACTAATATGGTCACAGTAGACAAGTCTTAGAGACATACATCATATTACTGATAAACTTAACTAGTATGATCACAGTAGACAAGTCTTGGTGACAATACATTATATTACTGATAAAATTAACTAATATGGTCACAGTAGACAAGTCTTAGAGACATACATTATATTACTGATAAACTTACAACTAGTATGGTCACAGTAGACAAGTCTTGGTGATATACATTATATTACTGATAAACTTAACTAGTATGGTCACAGTAGACAAGTCTTGGTGATATACATTATATCACTGATAAACTTAACTAGTATGGTCACAGTAGACAAGTCTTGGTGATATACATTATATCACTGATAAACTTAACTAGTATGGTCACAGTAGACAAGTCTTGGTGATATACATTATATCACTGATAAACTTAACTAGTATGGTCACAGTAGACATTATATCGCTATTAAAACTTACCACTGGCATGGTCACAGTAAGAAGAATCCTTCCCAAACATGAACACATCACCTTCCTTAGTGACAAATGCACTGCTGCCATTGTTACATGCAGCCTGTACTACAGTCTTAGATTCAAATCGAACCAGCTTCTTTGGTTTTACAGCTTTTGGTTGACGTCTTCCTTTGGCTGCCAAAGACATACAGAGGGTATATACTAATACTCATTATCAAGTATCAGAAGCCTTTCTTATTAAAGGACCAACCTTTCCTTCTACAGCAGAATTAACATATAAAAAAACCAGGAAAAATCTATTCATCTTATTTGCATCAACACTATGATACCTGAGATCATTATTTAGTGGAATACAGAAAGATATACTCGTTACAGCTATTTAAATTATTCTTACACCAACATATTAGTACAAAAGACAGTTGAGACAGGAGTCAGTAGCTTCAAAAATTAATACATGAATTGTTTAATAAGAAGGCTAGATAGGGAAGCCTTTTGTTATTTTGTTCTTGTTCTGTAAATACTTACACATGCTAGTATCCCCATCTTCTCCTCGTCGCGGCGTCCCTACAAAGAACAGACTACCATCATCTGACACCATCAGGGCATGTTGGCCCTCATGTCCCGTGGCAACCTGCACTATCTTGGGTGACTTAGTGATAGGTAGCTCTGCCCACTTCCCCTGAGCAGGTGCTCCTTGTTTGATACCTAGAGACTGGGACTTTCCACTGTATAAGACCTGCAACATATTGTATAAAATACAAAAAAACTCTTCAGCACTGACTCATATCTATCATAAAATAACTCCTCAGCACTGACCCATATCTGTCATAAAATAACTCTTCCGCAGCGACCCATATCTGTCATAAAATAACTCTTCAGCACTGACCCATATCTGTCACAAAATAACTCTTCAGCACTGACCCATATCTGTCATAAAATAACTCTTCAACACTGACCCATATCTGTCATAAAATAACTCTTCAACACTGACCCATATCTGTCATAAAATAACTAACTGACCCATATCTGTCAGCAGCACTGACATAAAATAACTCTTCAGCACTGACCTTAGCACTGTCATAAAATAACTCTACCCATATCTGTCACAAAATAACTCTTCAGCACTGACCCATATCTGTCATAAATAACACAGTAGCACTGACCCGTGTCTGTCATAAAATAACTCTTCAGCACTGACCCATATCTGTCACAAAATAACTCTTCAGCACTGACCCATATCTGTCATAAATAACACAGCAGCACTGACCCGTGTCTGTCATAAAATAACTCTTCAGCACTGACCCATATCTGTCATAAAATAACTCTTCAGCACTGACCCATATCTGTCATAAAATAACTCTTCAGCACTGACCTGGGTCTGTCATAAAATAACTCTTCAGCACTGACCCATATCTGTCATAAATAACACAGCAGCACTGACCCATATCTGTCACAAAATAACTCTTCAGCACTGACCCATATCTGTCATAAATAACACAGTAGCACTGACCCGTGTCTGTCATAAAATAACTCTTCAGCACTGACCCGTGTCTGTCATAAAATAACTCTTCAGCACTGACCCGTGTCTGTCATAAAATAACTCTTCAGCACTGACCCGTGTCTGTCATAAAATAACTCTTCAGCACTGACCCGTGTCTGTCATAAAATAACTCTTCAGCACTGACCCATATCTGTCACAAAATAACTCTTCAGCACTGACCCATATCTGTCATAAATAACACAGCAGCACTGACCCATATCTGTCACAAAATAACTCTTCAGCACAACTCGTGTCTGTCATAAAATAACTCTTCAGCACTGACCCGTGTCTGTCATAAAATAACTCTTCAGCACTGACCCATATCTGTCACAAAATAACACAGCAGCACTGACCCATATCTGTCAGCACTGACCACAGTAGCACTGACCCGTGTCATAAAATAACTCTTCAGCACTGACCCATAAAATAACTCTTCAGCACTCTGTCATAAAATAACTCTTCAGCACTGCACACTGACCCATATCTGTCTGTCATAAAATAACTCTTCAGCACTGACCCGTGTCTGTCATAAAATAACTCTTCAGCACTGACCCATATCTGTCACAAAATAACTCTTCTGCAGCGACCCATATCTGTCATAAAATAACTCTTCAGCACTGACCCATATGTGCCATAAAATAACTCTCCAGCACTGACCCATATCTGTCTTAAAATAACTCTTCCGCAGTGACCCATATCTGTCATAAAATAACTCTTCAGCACTGACCCGTGTCTGTCATAAAATAACTCCTCAGCACTGACCCATATCTGTCTTAAAATAACTCTTCCGCAGCGACCCATATCTGTCATAAAATAACTCTTCAGCACTGACCCGTGTCTGTCATAAAATAACTCTTCAGCACTGACCCATATCTGTCATAAATTAACTCTTCCGCAGCAACTTGTGTCTGTCATAAAATAACTCTTCAGGACTGACCCGTGTCTGTCATAAAATAACTCCTCAGCACTGACCCATATCTGTCTTAAAATAACTCTTCCGCAGTGACCCATATCTGTCATAAAATAACTCTTCAGCACTGACCCGTGTCTGTCATAAAATAACTCTTCAGCACTGACCCGTGTCTGTCATAAATACATAAGTTATTACATTTAACTCTTTAAAGGGGTCAAATCATCAAACATCTTCAAAGTTTAAAATACTTGGTGAAAATAAACAGCACAGTTATTAAGAAAGTAATTTTACAATCGTTATAAACTCCTTTTAATCTGAACTTAACCTTTCCACCAACAGTTCTTATCAGCACAAAGTCTTTAGCTCCAGTTATTGCAACAGAGTCTTCATCGTAAGCAGTATCTGAAAATTCACATAAAAAAACACTGTCGGAATTACGTGCCACTATAACTTTCTTTTTTACATTGATATCAGTAACTAAATTGTTTCTCTGTTTTCATAGCATGAAAGTTTGTATGAAAACTTGGTTACAGTTCTGTATCATCTTTGGTCATATTACCATCACTGAGGCAAATTGGAATCAACAACTGTCTATATAAGCTACATCTAAAACGTATTGACGGAGTGTCTCTTTGTGCTCATGTCATACAAAGCATACCAAAAACATCCATACACTTTTATCTAAATAAATAATATCTAACAAAACACCTACTGATTGAGTGTCTCTCTACGGTCTGGTCATAGGAGGCCGTTCCAAACACATCCATACACTTGCGGGTGAGTTTGAGGGGAAGTTCTCCAGCCACAGTCATGGGACTGACGTTTGGGTTATACAACCGTACCACAAAGCTGTCTTGCTGTTGAGAGGATGTTTACATTTATGAAGTATCAATTTCTAACAAATTTCTATGCAAAAGATTCATGAGAAAAGAGCCCTATCTTGTGTAAAATCAATGAAGTGTGAAATTTCACACTCATGATATATAAAAATTAAAAATCCCTTTTACTGTGATATATAACACTATTAAATACTTGATTAGGCTCAATAATTTGACAGGAAAAAAAGTTTTTTGAAATTATATCTCCTACTTACGTCTTTAGCTGCAGCAATCTGCCCAATGTTTTCTCCGTCACTGAACAAAGCACTGGGTCCAGGGCCCTTACCTAACAACACAAAAAACAACGAAATGTAAACATCCTTCACATAAACAACACAAGGAACACTAAAATGATTAATCACATCTCACAAAATCATTTCATTATTTCATTCAAGGTAGTTATGATAAAACCTATATATGATGAAATAATTAAATATCAATAATTCAATGTCATCACCTTTGTACTAATGTACAGCCAGTTATTTTCTGGGGATGATATTTTCACAGTCCATTAACACAAAAACTTGATCCATAAAAATAATGAGACGTGTATTTGATGTGCTTTTTGGATACTGGTCCTGAAATTTTGAATTTGTTAAAATATAATTTGATCATTTCAAAAGCAAATAGCAAAAATTTTGACCCAGGAAAATAACAAACTATCTACCATAAGAAATAATTTTAATCATACTATCTTATCATCATTGTATTATCTATTGTCTATCATCATGGTGACAAGACAATGAGCTTCTCCTGACAGTAACATATTCTGTGTTAAACTTACCGTCCAGTTTACAGGAGTTGATTACTGACAATAACATATTCTGTATTAAACTTACCACCCAGTTTACAGGAGTTGATCACTGACAATAACATATTCTGTGTTAAACTTACCGTCCAGTTTACAGGAGTTGATCACTGACAATAACATATTCTGTGTTAAACTTACCGTCCAGTTTACAGGAGTTGATCACTGACAATAACATATTCTGTGTTAAACTTACCGTCCAGTTTACAGGAGTTGATCACTGACAATAACATATTCTGTGTTAAACTTACCGTCCAGTTTACAGGAGTTGATCACTGACAATAACATATTCTGTGTTAAACTTACCGTCCAGTTTACAGGAGTTGATCACTGACAATAACATATTCTGTGTTAAACTTACCGTCCAGTTTACAGGAGTTGATCACTGACAATAACATATTCTGTGTTAAACTTACCGTCCAGTTTACAGGAGTTGATCACTGACAATAACATATTCTGTGTTAAACTTACCGTCCAGTTTACAGGAGTTGATCACTGACAATAACATATTCTGTGTTAAACTTACCGTCCAGTTTACAGGAGTTGATTACTGACAATAATATATTCTGTGTTAAACTTACCCTCCAGTTTACAGGAGTTGATCACTGACAATAACATATTCTGTGTTAAACTTACCGTCCAGTTTACAGGAGTTGATTACTGACAATAATATATTCTGTGTTAAACTTACCGTCCAGTTTACAGGAGTTGATCACTGACAATAATATATTCTGTGTTAAACTTACCGTCCAGTTTACAGGAGTTGATCACTGACAATAACATATTCTGTGTTAAACTTACCGTCCAGTCTACAGGAGTTGATCACTGACAATAATATATTCTGTGTTAAACTTACCGTCCAGTGGAGTTGATCACTGACAATAACATATTCTGTGTTAAACTTACCGTCCAGTTTACAGGAGTTGATTACTGACAATAATATATTCTGTGTTAAACTTACCATCCAGTTTACAGGAGTTGATCACTGACAATAACATATTCTGTGTTAAACTTACCGTCCAGTTTACAGGAGTTGATTACTGACAATAATATATTCTGTGTTAAACTTACCGTCCAGTTTACAGGAGTTGATCACTGACAATAACATATTCTGTGTTAAACTTATCGTCCAGTTTACAGGAGTTGATCACTGACAATAACATATTCTGTGTTAAACTTACCGTCCAGTTTACAGGAGTTGATCACTGACAATAACATATTCTGTGTTAAACTTACCGTCCAGTTTACAGGAGTTGATCACTGACAGTAACATATTCTGTGTTAAACTTACCGTCCAGTCTACAGGAGTTGATCACTGACAATAACATATTCTGTGTTAAACTTACCGTCCAGTTTACAGGAGTTGATTACTGACAATAATATATTCTGTGTTAAACTTACCATCCAGTTTACAGGAGTTGATCACTGACAATAACATATTCTGTGTTAAACTTACCGTCCAGTTTACAGGAGTTGATTACTGACAATAATATATTCTGTGTTAAACTTACCGTCCAGTTTACAGGAGTTGATCACTGACAATAACATATTCTGTGTTAAACTTACCGTCCAGTTTACAGGAGTTGATCACTGACAATAATATATTCTGTGTTAAACTTACCGTCCAGTTTACAGGAGTTGATCACTGACAATAACATATTCTGTGTTAAACTTACCGTCCAGTTTACAGGAGTTGCTTACTGACAGTAACATATTCTGTGTTAAACTTACCGTCCAGTTTACAGGAGTTGATCACTGACAATAACATATTCTGTGTTAAACTTACCGTCCAGTTTACAGGAGTTGATCACTGACAATAACATATTCTGTGTTAAACTTACTGTCCAGTATACAGGAGTTGATCACAGACAGTAACATATTCTGTGTTAAACTTACCGTCCAGTCTACAGGAGTTGATCACTGACAATAACATATTCTGTGTTAAACTTACCGTCCAGTTTACAGGAGTTGATCACTGACAATAACATATTCTGTGTTAAACTTACCGTCCAGTTTACAGGAGTTGATCACTGACAATAACATATTCTGTGTTAAACTTACCGTCCAGTTTACAGGAGTTGCTTACTGACAGTAACATATTCTGTGTTAAACTTACCGTCCAGTTTACAGGAGTTGATCACTGACAATAGCATATTCTGTGTTAAACTTACCGTCCAGTTTACAGGAGTTGATTACTGACAAGTCTTCCTTATTAATGGTACAAAGACAAGGTTGGGCATTCTCATCTGATCGACAGAACAACTGGTCCTAAATGGGACAAAAGTTTAACAGAAATTATTTTGATTTCAGGATGATTTGAGAAGAAATCATAAATATTGAGCATACATTATTTAGGAATTAACTTTTTACTTTGTTGAAGTTATTGAGGGGATATCTAAACTTCAATTCTAGTAAATTCAATAATGGCCAGTTATATAAAAACTAGAGTTCGATTGTAGCAAGTTAATTCTTATATTTACACATTTTCTTCATTAAAATACAGTTTGGTTTCTATTGATTCCAATGATTAAACAACACACAAAAATAACAGAAACATTGAGTTTACTGATCACCATGGAGCAGCCTATTGCTTTAGTGTTTCTGATACCACAGCATCAATGCAAACATTTAAAAAGAATATTTCTCATATATTCACTAGCTATTTGCTCAATACAACATTCCAATGTTTATTTTATTGAGACTTCAAAATGAAAATCTCTAAGTTTGACTAAGATTGGCTTCAGGACCACATTTCAAATGGCCTTTATTTCTCAGACATTTTGAAATGTGTGTTAATCAAGTCCAGTGTGTGTTAACATGACAGTACCTCATTATCAATATTTAATGATAATGAGAATTACATAGGTCAGTTACAATTGTAACTGTAAATATTATCTAAGAAATCGAGTCAATTAGTTACTCACTCCAGCACAAGCAAGCCACACAGATGATGTAGATACTGTAAATTCTCTCTGGAGATAAATGTGTCCCTGAAAAAAAAACAAAAAAAAACTATAAAGGCTATTCCAGATAAATATAAAACAGAGGAAGGTTAGATAAGCCACTACACAAGGTCAATCTCCTGAGCATAGACTTCAGATCCTTTTTCAGTCGTCACATAAGATAAATATCTTATGAATCCTAAAACTCGATACTTTGACAGATAAAAATGTAGAATTATATCAATAAAAGGAACAATATCGTGTCAGAGCACCCTTACCTTTGTTGTGTCTCCATATCCTGTTCCAATTTTTGCTATTCCATTTTTGCTGTCTAGTATGTATAAATATTTGCCGTCAGAAGCGACAGCACAATCCATTCCACCTGTAATGAATGTTTACATTGTAACATAATGACCCTGTGCTGTTTTGATATCCTGTATCACAAACACAATAAATCAGAAGTCAAAACAAAGGTAGTTGAGAAATAATTATCAACTATCAAAGCATCAGAATAAAAATTAATTTAACTAGTCAACTTGACCTAAAATTACACAGTTTTTTTTATACAACACTAAATAATTGTCATGTATCATAATCAATTCAACCATTATTTTTAAAAGAAATATATTGATATGGAATTTCTCACCCTTTTTATCATTTGTATGAAGTATCTCTAGGGTAAATGTATCAATCAGACCACCAGACTTGACCCCCTGATTGAACCAGTCAGGAAGCTGGGTCTTTCCCAGTAACACAGCCTGTACACTCTTCTGTAGAGATGTTAGTACCCCTGGCACCTGATAACACAAACAATATGTTTAAATATGTTTACAAACCTTTTAAGTAAACACATTCACGATGTGTACAGCCACACTACAAAACAGACTATCTTAATTCATATTAATTATCTGGGTCATCAGGAACCCATCAATAAAGAGAGACATAGGAGAAATGTCTCTAACAATAATATATATATGTTTTATGTACCACAGCAGAATGTTTAGCATTCTGTTACAAACTGAACACTTGTACAGGCAAGCCAGCTATCCAATGAAACACATTAAAATAGGGTTATCAGTATTTTAATATTACCTTGACATTCTGCATAGCAAGTGGTGCTGGACTCATCAACATGGATGAGATGGCTGTTAGGAGTTTGCCAGTATCTCCTAGGGCAACAGTAAGTGAGATGAGAGAGGAGCAGGCTAGAGAAGACAGACTCATGTCTGTTCCACCTACCATGGCAACCTCCATCAGGAGCTGGAATAGTCCATCTGTAAAAACACCCCGTAGTTATGCATGAATACTTTTTTGTGTCTTGTACATACCGTAAAAACCCATGTAATGTGCAGTTTGTTTATGATAAAACAAATGTCCAAATTGGGGGGTGCATATTTAAAACCACTAGGACTGGTGGATTGAAAAATTTACTCGTCGGGACTGGAAATTTACACGTCCAAATTCAGCTATGAAATGGCGACTTAATCAGCGAGGATGTGACATGTGACTTTTTTCTATTTTTATTTGAAGTTTTAGTGAAAAAACTATGCAGTGATGGCTGCTTTGCGTCAGACATTGTGCTTGACTCAGGCCTAGCCGTAGTGTTTGTTTACAACTGACTGACTAGGTGCTGTTAAGAACGAGAGCACCTCACATCAGTATGACCGCGGAAAAATGACTAAGGTATTCCGAATGCTATATTTGATGTCATGGGAGTTCCAGTGTAATCAAAAGTTAGAGTGCAGTCTGGAATATTTTGTTTTCGAATTACCGTAAATACATTTCTTTGTTTTAAATTTTCTTTACATTTTTATTGAAATTTAAGTTGTAACATTAATATCATTGGAAAAAGGTACTCATCCGATGGACGACTGAAAAAGATAAATCTGGTTGTCCAAGACAATTTTCACTTGTCCATGACGACCGGACGAGTGCTTTTCCAGACCCCTAGTACATTCTGTACTCCTCACACTACATCATTACAATACACTCTTATTTTACATGTTTACTTACCTACAATATCTGGTGGCTCCAGCTTCATGCTCTCTGGCTGCTGCCCCTGTAGGAGGTTCAGCAAGGCCTGTAGGGCCCGAACACATAGTTCTGGGTACTTAGTGCGAGTCTCTCGTACTAGCTCAAATAGACCACTCAGTCCAAAGGTCACAATCTGGGATATAAGTATTCAATTTTTTGAAGAAATCCAAAATATTGTTTTAATTTTTAAATGATTCTTATTTTTTCATTATCCAAAGCCATAATAGCTTATATAGGTAATAATTTGGTACTGAGAGTCAACAGAAATCCAATTATAGCACAACTTCATTTACCTCAACCCTTGAGTAGACAAAACTACCATTACTATACTGAAGAACTTAAGGCTTGCATGTCTGATATACATAAAGATGAAATATTTTGATATCAAAGCTTCAATCTAATTTGAAAATAGATCTAACATTTCCAGCAAAAAAAAAAAAGAAAAGAAAACCCTACAATGTTCAAGAATGAAGTCAATAATTATTAACCTAAAGCTTATATCAATTTACACACCAAAGACAAACTGACATTTACACAATTCACTGAAGGTCATTTTCCCTACATCTGTATGTCTGAAGCTGATGGTCCTGCTTGTTATTATTAGTGCATTAGCATAATCTTATTGATGTTTGGTTTCCATCTATAATATGCTTTTAGTACACTAATGCTTGTTGTCTTAAATCAGCAGAACATTTTGATGCAAGTCTTAAACATGGTTTTCAAAGTGTTAACTCTTAAAGTGTTACCCAAGTCTAAAGGAAATTCCTGAGTCCATAACTCCAATGTCTATGGCCCATAGCTTGTTGTGAAAAGAAAGTCAGCACTTGTTCATATTTCTTGGGGTACAAGTCTTTTTTAAAGCAGTGCATTTGTTTTAAAATCATTAAAACTGTACCTCGTCAAATAGTTTACAGAACTTTCCCTTCACCTTAGTGACTTCATATTTCATTAAACTCAAGTACAAACCTTTGGTAGTTTTATTGTTGCTTCTTTGCCTTTTTCATCACCAGTATCATCACTGTCTGAGTCTGACTGAGCAGTGACACTTTGGTGATAGATCTGACTGGCCTCTTTCATACATCGCTCAAGGACTGCCTGGCGGACAGTGGAGTACACGTTGAATATAGATGGGTTTAGACTCACATCCAAATTAGGCACCTGGGTTTCTGTACTCTCTGGACTTTTGTCTCGCTTAAACATCATAATACAACAATTTGTCACACATCAGTTACTATTAAAAACAAGTTTCAGTGAAACTGCTGAATGTTCCTGAAAAGTGACTTTATTGGACACAAAATTTTAGCAAAGGGCAATAATTCTGTAATTAAGTAGTTCTATGCCCTGAATTTGGTACACTGCACATTTTCTTAATTAGTAAGACCAATGTATAAAACAAATTTCATTATGAAAGTTTTATTGCAAGCAAACATATGCTCACTACACAAAATTTTGACAAAGGACAATGATTGTAATTGAGGGGTCTTGGGCCCTGAATTTGGTACACTGCACATTCCCTAAGTATGATCAATGTATACACTAGGTTTCATGATCCTTGCTAAGGGTGGTCAAATATATGGTATTTAAGTTTTTATTCTTGTTAAAATGTAAGCAATTTAATGTTGTGTCTAGACACAAAATTTTAAGAAAGGGCAACAACCCTAGATCACTAATTATGGGGTTGTGGACCATGAATTTGGTACACTGCTCATCGTCTTAGCATGATCAATGTATACACCAAAATTCATTATCCAAGTTTAAATGCAAGCGAATATAAACTCTAGACATGAATTTTTTACAAAGGGTGATAATTCTGTAATTTTGGGGTCAAGGGCCCTGCATTTGGTACACTGCACATTGCCTTAGTATGAACAATGTATACACCAAGTTTCATGATCCTTGCTTAACCGTAAAGTTATCATTTTCTGCAAGTAAATAAGTCATTTACATACACATAACACAGAGGTGATATATTTACTTGAACGTAAGCTGTTCCAACAGTTCTAATATACCTTACCAAAGATACAAATACACTCATACAAAGCCAAAATATTTTTAGTTGGATTTTGCTAAGAAAGATCTGAATATGTTAAAACCATTTCTTTACGAAGACACACAGGAACATTTCAAGATCACTTCTAAAGGCATAAGAAATCCATGACTTATGAAGTATCTTTATTCCACATAAAATTATTTGATACCTTTTGTTTTTTCTCTTTTCCTTTAGTCTTCACTTTCTTTTTTAACTTTTTCTTTTCATTTTTCTTCCTGTGAAAAAGAACATCAGAAATGAAATAGATTAAACTCAAGTTCTGTTTTTGTATAACTATTTATCTGATCATCTTTATCGTCAAAGGACATCAATTTTTTTCCACATTTGAGCTGGCATATACCATGTACAGAACATGCAAAATATAACCCGACCCCCCAACACACACACACACTTGTTGTTAAAGTACCACTGTGGTATTTCAAGGGATATATAAGGGATTTGTATCATGAAACCATCCAGTAGATTAATACTCTCTGTTACATTCTGCATATTAAAACACTCTTCAGTTCAACTAGTCCATAATGGCAGACGTCACTTAAACATCTTGCTTGTCACTGTAACGATTTTTTTAGTCAAAAAGGTATCTCACAATCTTAGAAATATTTAAGATTTCCTTCCGATTGCACTCTTGGACCCTTTTCAACATAAAGCCCATACAGCTGACAAAACCCTGGGATACCCCCGGCTTTTAGTTATTTTGTAGCAAATGAAATGAAAGCGGATGCTTTAAATAGAATAAAAAAAATAGAAACAAGACACATATGTTGTTTATGAGTAATCAATTCAACAGATAAATGGCACAAGAAAGTAGTTGCTTGATACAAATAATGAAAACTTAAATGTCGTACTTTGAAACGGATGTCTCATCGATATCAATATCGAACAGCTCATGAAATTTGCTGCTCAGTGTTCCTCCTTCCAGGAACCTGTCCAACTCGCTTCTCGACGCAGGCAAAATTTGCACCGCTGCCATTGTCTCTGGGACAAAATGGTTGAAATTTTAGACCTCCAAAACGAATCTCAAGATCACACATTAATTTTACAGGAGATAACATAACCAGAAACAGCAACTGGATGGTCTGACGTCTGACTTTCAACCATCCATATTGAATGAAAATCAGCAGTTGATACATTTTTCAAATTCAATCTAACAGAAAAATCAAGCAAACAACTGCCAGATTCTAGATTGGTGGTAAAGTACCCCTGGCACCTGATAACACAAACAATATGTTTAAATATGTTTACAAACCTTTTAAGTAAACACATTCACGATGTGTACAGCCACACTACAAAACAGACTATCTTAATTCATATTAATTATCTGGGTCATCAGGAACCCATCAATAAAGAGAGCATAGGAGAAATGTCTCTAACAATAATATATATATGTTTTATGTACCACAGCAGAATGTTTAGCATTCTGTTACAAACTGAACACTTGTACAGGCAAGCCAGCTGTCCAATGAAACACATTAAAATAGGGTTATCAGTTTTTTAATATTACCTTGACATTCTGCATAGCAAGTGGTGCTGGACTCATCAACATGGATGAGATGGCTGTTAGGAGTTTGCCAGTATCTCCTAGGGCAACAGTAAGTGAGATGAGAGAGGAGCAGGCTAGAGAAGACAGACTCTATGTCTGTTCCACCTACCATGGCAACCTCCATCAGGAGCTGGAATAGTCCATCTGTAAAAACACCCCGTAGTTATGCATGAATACTTTTTTGTGTCTTGTACATACCGTAAAAACCCATGTAATGTGCCGTTTGTTTATGATAAAACAAATGTCCAAATTGGGGGGTGAATATTTAAAACCACTAGGACTGGTGGATTGAAAAATTTACTCGTCGGGACTGGAAATTTACACGTCCAAATTCAGCTATGAAATGGCGACTTAATCAGCGAGGATGTGACATGTGACTTTTTTCTATTTTTATTTGAAGTTTTAGTGAAAAAACTATGCAGTGATGGCTGCTTTGCGTCAGACATTGTGCTTGACTCAGGCCTAGCCGTAGTGTTTGTTTACAACTGACTGACTAGGTGCTGTTAAGAACGAGAGCACCTCACATCAGTATGACCGCGGAAAAATGACTAAGGTATTCCGAATGCTATATTTGACGTCATGGGAGTTCCAGTGTAATCAAAAGTTAGAGTGCAGTCTGGAATATTTTGTTTTCGAATTACCGTAAATACATTTCTTTGTTTTAAATTTTCTTTACATTTTTATTGAAATTTAAGTTGTAACATTAATATCATTGGAAAAAGGTACTCATCCGATGGACGACTGAAAAAGATAAATCTGGTTGTCCAAGACAATTTTCACTTGTCCATGACGACCGGACGAGTGCTTTTCCAGACCCTGATACATTCTGTACTCCTCACACTACATCATTACAATACACTCTTATTTTACATGTTTACTTACCTACAATATCTGGTGGCTCCAGCTTCATGCTCTCTGGCTGCTGCCCCTGTAGGAGGTTCAGCAAGGCCTGTAGGGCCCGAACACATAGTTCTGGGTACTTAGTGCGAGTCTCTCGTACTAGCTCAAATAGACCACTCAGTCCAAAGGTCACAATCTGGGATATAAGTATTCAATTTTTTGAAGAAATCCAAAATATTGTTTTAATTTTTAAATGATTCTTATTTTTTCATTATCCAAAGCCATAATAGCTTATATAGGTAATAATTTGGTACTGAGAGTCAACAGAAATCCAATTATAGCACAACTTCATTTACCTCAACCCTTGAGTAGACAAAACTACCATTACTATACTGAAGAACTTAAGGCTTGCATGTCTGATATACATAAAGATGAAATATTTTGATATCAAAGCTTCAATCTAATTTGAAAATAGATCTAACATTTCCAGCAAAAAAAAAAAGAAAAGAAAACCCTACAATGTTCAAGAATGAAGTCAATAATTATTAACCTAAAGCTTATATCAATTTACACACCAAAGACAAACTGACATTTACACAATTCACTGAAGGTCATTTTCCCTACATCTGTATGTCTGAAGCTGATGGTCCTGCTTGTTATTATTAGTGCATTAGCATAATCTTATTGATGTTTGGTTTCCATCTATAATATGCTTTTAGTACACTAATGCTTGTTGTCTTAAATCAGCAGAACATTTTGATGCAAGTCTTAAACATGGTTTTCAAAGTGTTAACTCTTAAAGTGTTACCCAAGTCTAAAGGAAATTCCTGAGTCCATAACTCCAATGTCTATGGCCCATAGCTTGTTGTGAAAAGAAAGTCAGCACTTGTTCATATTTCTTGGGGTACAAGTCTTTTTTAAAGCAGTGCATTTGTTTTAAAATCATTAAAACTGTACCTCGTCAAATAGTTTACAGAACTTTCCCTTCACCTTAGTGACTTCATATTTCATTAAACTCAAGTACAAACCTTTGGTAGTTTTATTGTTGCTTCTTTGCCTTTTTCATCACCAGTATCATCACTGTCTGAGTCTGACTGAGCAGTGACACTTTGGTGATAGATCTGACTGGCCTCTTTCATACATCGCTCAAGGACTGCCTGGCGGACAGTGGAGTACACATTGAATATAGATGGGTTTAGACTCACATCCAAATTAGGCACCTGGGTTTCTGTACTCTCTGGACTTTTGTCTCGCTTAAACATCATAATACAACAATTTGTCACACATCAGTTACTATTAAAAACAAGTTTCAGTGAAACTGCTGAATGTTCCTGAAAAGTGACTTTATTGGACACAAAATTTTAGCAAAGGGCAATAATTCTGTAATTAAGTAGTTCTATGCCCTGAATTTGGTACACTGCACATTTTCTTAATTAGTAAGACCAATGTATAAAACAAATTTCATTATGAAAGTTTTATTGCAAGCAAACATATGCTCACTACACAAAATTTTGACAAAGGACAATGATTGTAATTGAGGGGTCTTGGGCCCTGAATTTGGTACACTGCACATTCCCTAAGTATGATCAATGTATACACTAGGTTTCATGATCCTTGCTAAGGGTGGTCAAATATATGGTATTTAAGTTTTTATTCTTGTTAAAATGTAAGCAATTTAATGTTGTGTCTAGACACAAAATTTTAAGAAAGGGCAACAACCCTAGATCACTAATTATGGGGTTGTGGACCATGAATTTGGTACACTGCTCATCGTCTTAGCATGATCAATGTATACACCAAAATTCATTATCCAAGTTTAAATGCAAGCGAATATAAACTCTAGACATGAATTTTTTACAAAGGGTGATAATTCTGTAATTTTGGGGTCAAGGGCCCTGCATTTGGTACACTGCACATTGCCTTAGTATGAACAATGTATACACCAAGTTTCATGATCCTTGCTTAACCGTAAAGTTATCATTTTCTGCAAGTAAATAACTCATTTACATACACATAACACAGAGGTGATATATTTACTTGAACGTAAGCTGTTCCAACAGTTCTAATATACCTTACCAAAGATACAAATACACTCATACAAAGCCAAAATATTTTTAGTTGGATTTTGCTAAGAAAGATCTGAATATGTTAAAACCATTTCTTTACGAAGACACACAGGAACATTTCAAGATCACTTCTAAAGGCATAAGAAATCCATGACTTATGAAGTATCTTTATTCCACATAAAATTATTTGATACCTTTTGTTTTTTCTCTTTTCCTTTAGTCTTCACTTTCTTTTTTAACTTTTTCTTTTCATTTTTCTTCCTGTGAAAAAGAACATCAGAAATGAAATAGATTAAACTCAAGTTCTGTTTTTGTATAACTATTTATCTGATCATCTTTATCGTCAAAGGACATCAATTTTTTTCCACATTTGAGCTGGCATATACCATGTACAGAACATGCAAAATATAACCCCACCCCCCAACACACACACACACTTGTTGTTAAAGTACCACTGTGGTATTTCAAGGGATATATAAGGGATTTGTATCATGAAACCATCCAGTAGATTAATACTCTCTGTTACATTCTGCATATTAAAACACTCTTCAGTTCAACTAGTCCATAATGGCAGACGTCACTTAAACATCTTGCTTGTCACTGTAACGATTTTTTTAGTCAAAAAGGTATCTCACAATCTTAGAAATATTTAAGATTTCCTTCCGATTGCACTCTTGGACCCTTTTCAACATAAAGCCCATACAGCTGACAAAACCCTGGGATACCCCCGGCTTTTAGTTATTTTGTAGCAAATGAAATGAAAGCGGATGCTTTAAATAGAATAAAAAAAATAGAAACAAGACACATATGTTGTTTATGAGTAATCAATTCAACAGATAAATGGCACAAGAAAGTAGTTGCTTGATACAAATAATGAAAACTTAAATGTCGTACTTTGAAACGGATGTCTCATCGATATCAATATCGAACAGCTCATGAAATTTGCTGCTCAGTGTTCCTCCTTCCAGGAACCTGTCCAACTCGCTTCTCGACGCAGGCAAAATTTGCACCGCTGCCATTGTCTCTGGGACAAAATGGTTGAAATTTTAGACCTCCAAAACGAATCTCAAGATCACACATTAATTTTACAGGAGATAACATAACCAGAAACAGCAACTGGATGGTCTGACGTCTGACTTTCAACCATCCATATTGAATGAAAATCAGCAGTTGATACATTTTTCAAATTCAATCTAACAGAAA